CTTCCTTAATGCTCTTAGCTTATTGACAAAGAACTAACCTATGTGACATTTAGTAGTTTAATGTGAGGAAATTTTCATGAGGGGAAAGCTATTTTTATGGTATGTTTTCGACATATTTATGTTTAAGAATAGCAGAACATGTGAACACTTTGAGTCCACAGAATATTTAAAGTTCCCCATCTTTATAAATTATTTTTCTACTTCCTTAATGCTCTTAGCTTATTGACAAAGAACTAACCTATGTGACATTTAGTAGTTTAATGTGAGGAAATTTTCATGAGGGGAAAGCTATTTTTATGGTATGTTTTCGACATATTTATGTTTAAGAATAGCAGAACATGTGAACACTTTGAGTCCACAGAATATTTAAAGTTCCCCATCTTTATAAATTATTTTTCTATTGGCATTAAGAGGGCTTTTCCTTATCCCACTCATTAGATATCTGTGTATGTATCTTTTTTTGCCTGATTCGTACATCTATTGGTATATTTCTGTATGTTTTCCTCTTCAAATTACCTAGAGAACATGCCTTTGGTATTAATAATAGAAGAATAGCGGGCAGTATCCAGTTTGCACTAATAAGTACAGAATCTGGATAACCTTCTAAAGCATGTCATAGTAATCACCGAAGGGAAGTCTGGGGAGATGGAATCAAGAAATACTTCAGTGTTCCATAATATTTCATTCTCTTCACAAATGTACTGCTCATCATCTTAATCACAATTTAAAAAGAATAAATACACTTTTTTAAACCCATATAGTTGCTCCAGAAGATCCTAGCAGAAAAGTTGATGGGGATACCATTATTTTCTCTGATGTGCAAGAAAGTTTGAGTGCTGTTTATCAGTGCAATGCCTCTAATGAATATGGATACTTGCTGGCAAATGCATTTGTGAATGTTTTGGGTAAGATCAATCTTTCATTTTTCATCTGTAACTTAATTAAGTGTTGCTTATTAGTAAATTTTCCTAATATAATTTAATCTAATCTAAACTGTATGTAATGGTAAGTACAAGAAAAAATATTGATGATTAAATTAACAGAAATGTTAATAAAATAAATATTTTTATTGAAAGTGGTTATGATTACTTATCAACCCCCTCTATTACACAATTCTCTCTTCTCCTTCAGATATGGGCTCCACAGAGCACCATTGTAGAGGTTCTAAGCCCAATCATACAACTACAAGACTTTTTTGAGTGCACTGTGCATATTCCTTGAGCCCTCATTCTACAGATGAAGGTCATAAATATCCCACACTCTCTAAGGGTACGTCTACACAGCAGGGCTAAAGTCAAATTAAGTTATGCAACTTCACCTACGTCAATTGCATAGCTTAAGTCAAAATTAGCTTATCGGATAGTCAACACAACTAGTCGCTTCCCCCCCCCCTCCCCTTACTGCCTCTATCAGAGCCCTCAGGGCTCTTGTATATTTCAAAAGCAGGGAATGCAGAGCCAGTGTGGGACTGCTGGAGTCCCCCGCCTGCCACGTGCTCCCCATGCACGCTTTGCTTTTGAAATGTAGGAAGAGCCGGCAGGGCTCTTACTTATAAGGCAGAAGTGCCCTTATCAAATAGTGCCCTAATCAAATAGTCAATGCAAATTGCATCAACTATTTCATGAGTTGATTAATCTAAATTTAACATCCTTAGTCGAAATAGTTTAACTTGGCTTTTAGCGCTGTCTACACAGCAGGAAGTTGAAGGAAGAGTTGAATACTCTTCCTTCAACTTGCCTTACTTCTTGTGAAATGAGGATTACCATAACTCAGAGTAAGAAGCCCTCCAGCGCAACATTATTTCAAAGTAAAGGTTGTAGTGTGGACGTGCACTATGTTATTTCAGAATAACATCAGTTATTCCGAAATAATGCTGCTGTGTAGATGTACCCAAATTGTCCCTGACTTTGTCCTTCCCCTTTGCTGAAGCAGGTGTGAAATCATCTTGTCCCTGTTCTCTGTTAGGCCAGACAAACAAAAATAGCTGTAGAGAGTTGTTTAATTGGAACTAGGTTTAAATTAATTTTTCATTTTTTTAATGTTCCCTTGAAATATTTTTGTTATTGTGAACATGGCTTCAGATAGCCATGAAAAAGGTAAAGGACACACAGCTAAAGCCTGCAACGCCTTTAAAATTTTCTCAGAAAGGATCCAAAAAGGTTTTAAGATGCAGTTTCAGAATATGTGCTTTCAAGATGATTTAGTTATGCTCGACTCAGAGGCCTTCTCCTAAGAAGGTGTCTCTGGACGTGAGTAATGTGGCCTTCAGTGCCTTCCTGTGAACAGAGAGGCACTTCACCAAAGAGTCTTGGTGTGTGTAGCTTTTTTGTACCGAGAGGTTGTAGAACCTCCTAGGAATTGTGTGGCCAAATCAGTCATCTGCATTGGGGTAATGATATTTGGCCCAATGGACCTTGTTTCTCGTTTCTTTTTTTCCCAAGCATTTTCTAACTTGAATTCTTCCAGTGAAGTCACATGCTTTGGTGCCTGTCGCTGTTGCTCGCTAAATAAGAAGGAAGTATTTACTTGTAACAGAGATAAACCCCTGAATTACAGCTTTTACGGACTATCAGCAGAGCTAAACTGAGCCCCTATGTTACATCAGGAAGAAATGTAAATGTGTAATTTTATATGCTACTCTTCATTTGTAATCCAATATGTCATATATATAGAGAGAGAGATAAAACAAAATTTGTTTTGTTGTACTTTTAGCTGAGCCTCCAAGAATTCTGACTCCTGCTAATAAATTATATCAAGTCATTGCAAATAATCCTGCGTTGCTAGATTGTGCTTTTTTTGGTTCACCTGTTCCTGAAATTGAATGGTAAGTTATAGTCTTTATGTATAACTACTTCAGAAAAGACATATATTTTCCTTGAAATCACTTGTTCAAATTTTTTTGGTTATTTTATATTTCCTTTACTAAAAATAAAATAGGGATCTCTTTTTAAATGTTACCTGATTACAGTATTAATACATTATTTATGTAATTTACATGTAAATAAATTACTAATAGTTTACATTTTAAATTTCACTATATGGGTTTATTTGACATTTGCATTTTCTTTTGTAGTATTCTAAAATTTGGTTTTCTAACACTAAATATGATTGAATTAGTGCATGATTATGGATAATGATGCTGTTTTTATTATACAGGTTTAAGGGAGTAAAAGGGAGCATCCTGCATGGAGATCTTTATGTTTTCCATGACAACGGAACTCTGGAAATTCCTGTGGCACAAAAGGATAGTACTGGCACATATACCTGTGTAGCAAGGAATAAATTAGGAAAGGTACAAAATGAAGTCCATCTGGAAGTGAAAGGTAAGAAACCAGTCAATTAATTGAATCAATTCTAATCACAGTTTAACCCAGAATGTCAAATAATTTCAATGTCTAATAGCAGCTCTAAATTTCAGATCCAACAATGATTATTAAACAGCCTGAATACAAAATCGTTCAAAGGGCTGGCCAGGTTTCCTTTGAGTGTACTATAAAACACGATCGTACCTTAATACCAACTATTACATGGTTGAAGGATAATGGTGAACCGCCAGAGGATGAAAGGTACAGATAATTATTTATTTTGTTTTTTATAATTGTACTTTTAGATTCATTTTTGTTACTGTTTTTCCTCTTCATCTGAAATGTACAAGTCTTGTGATAAGTCTTCCGCAAGAAGTCTAATCAATAACAACATCCAGACCCATGTTTGTCTTTTCTAAAAGCCCATCCTTGTTCAGTAGCAAAGTGAAGGAAGCAATTAAAATGAAAAAGCAACATTTAACCAATGGGAAAAATAGATATCAATATACATTAAAATATGAATAGTGGAAAATGGATAGGGGAATCCCAAGACATCAAGGAAAAATTCATGGTTGGTGCTAAAAACAATAAGAGCTTTTAAAAGTATATAAGGAACAAAAGGATTCATTGCCATGGTATATACATATTAATAGATAGAGATGGTAAATTTTTGATGCAGGCACTGTGAAAGAGGTCAATAAATATTTCTGCTCTGTATCTGGAAAGAAGCAGAATGATGTACTTGTATCACAGGAGGAGGCTGAAATACTTTCTCGTCCATTAATAACTAAGGATGTCATTAAACAACATCTGCTAGAAATAAACATTTTAGAATGAATAGATTCAGAAAACTTTCACATAGGAATCCTATGAGAACTGCATGAGGTGGTCTCTGGCCTGCTGGTATTCATTTTAATTATGAAAGACAAGAGAAATTTCAAAATACTGGAAGAGTGTTAATATGCTGTTATTTCAGAAAGAACACATATACAAAAAGGATAATCCACATAACTATAGGCCAAGAAGACTGACATCAATCCCGAAGAAAATAATGGAAAGCTGATACAGGATTCAGTTAATAAAAACAGCAATATAATTCATGCTAGTCAAAATAGGTTACATCAAATGTAATATCATTCTTGGAGATTTCTCTCTATCTTGCTCTCGATATATAATTATTGTAAACTCCAAGACATACATATATATATTAAAATGTTATCAAAATTGAAATCTCCAAGAATTATATATATAATGTATAAAATGGTATAATATACTTAAATTTTTGAAAGACATTTGATTTAGTACCAAATGACGTAAGTAAAAAAAAAATAGTGCTATGTAATATCAATAGAGCACACATTAAATGGGTTAAGTAATGGCTAGCTGATTTTAAAAAGTAGTTGTACATGGGGAGTCATCATCATGGTGGTGTTTCTGCTGGTATTTCTCAGGGATCACTAGTAGGTTTCACTCTATTTAATTTTTTCATAAATTATCTGGAAGTAAATGTAATGCTTGGATAGGGATCTTAGGTTGAAGTTCATATTGTGCAAATGTTAACTTGTCTATACTGCTTACTGCAAGCCTGACAGAATTGCCAAGCCTCTGGGCAAGTGTGGAGGGCAGCTCCTTGCTCCTGGAAGGAGCATTCAGCCGCACCATGGCACACACACACACATCCCTCTCCAGGCAGCCCTCAGAGCTGCCCACAGTGTATCATGCGGTGCTACAGTGGTATTTAAAGGACCCTGGGCTCTGGAGCTGCTGCTGAGAACCCCGGGCCCTTTTGTGTCACCAGACCCTGGAATCTTTTACCCCTACCCCCATCAGCAGGCCTGATGTTTCCTGCTTTGTCTTTTGGAGAACATGAATATCATGTTGCAGCTACAGTTAGAACTAAAGGCTTCTGCTAACTTCTGAAATGCACAGAGCAACGCTTTTTGGGTACTATACATTTTCAGATCAGAGATCTGAATCGACTGCTTAGAGAGGTGTCTTTCAGAAAAGAAAACATTTGAATACTGATATTACCTATTAGCAAAAGTGTAGTAGCAATGCAAATGTTGAAGTTACATTAGGCTATGGAGATGTTGCTAGTACCCACAAAAATATTAAGCCACCATTAGGATTTGGTAATGTTTGTACACAACTTTATTATAATAATGAAAGTCCACAACTGAATGTACTGTTTGCAGGTTTATTATTCATAAAGACAGCTTGGCCATTATGAATGTAACCGATAAGGATGATGGAACCTATACATGTGTAGCAAACACCACCCTGGACAGTGTTTCTGCAAGTGCTGTACTCACTGTTGTTGGTAAGATTGTTTTTAAAATATTGTAAGGGCAAAGCCGTGTTTGTTTTGTACAAATTGTTAATGTAGTACTAGATTTGGTAGGCAGCCACTAATAGAGTTTGATAAAATAAATTAAAACATTCCAACTCATATATGCTCTTTGGGCATTCAGTGCAATTTTAAGATAAAAATAAATGATATTCAATCTTGTCTGTATTGTCTGATTATTTTAGGGTAGTGTATGAAGCAGAAGGTCAAGTATGAACCAAACAAGCTATTTAAGAGAAAGTGTTCTAACAGGAAGTATTGTCTTCCATGGGACAATGTCAACCTCATGCTGGATGGGATTTTAACCATACAGCACTTGAGCTGGTGTAGTCAACCAGTGACTGCAGAATATTTCAGCACCAACACTGGTTGTCTCGAAGTTCTTGCCATCTCCTGTAGTTGTATTCTGCTTCAACATATTGAATATCATGTGTGTATAACTTTCACTCTTGCTTTCAGGATTTTCCCTAGTCTAATTTTCTTTCAGTTTAGCTAGGCCTCCAGTTATTATGAAGTATAAAGTCCACCAGCCAGGAATTGCTGGAGTGTAGTGTACTATGGTTATGACTCTTGAATGTGCCTTCTGCTGACTTGGGACACCAATTTTTTCAGGAATCAATATCCAGATAAGCAGATGCTCCTACTTACCAGCATTCTTGTCCAGCTCAGGATCATTCCCAGGAGTTTAAACACTTCTAGTAGTTATTGGCTCTGTTCATTGAGGGTACATCTACATAGCAGGGCTAAAGTCAAATTAAGCTACGCAACTTCAGCTACGTCAATCGTGTAGCTTAAATCGAAATAGCTTAACTCGGCTTTTGGTGGTGTCTATATAGCAGGAAGTTGAAGGAATAAATTAGGGTTACCTTGAGTCAGAGTAAGAAGTCCTCCAGCTTGAGACTGTTTTAAAATAAAGGCTTGTAGTGTAGATGCACACTAAGTTATTTCGGAATAACATTAGTTATTCCAAAATAATGCTCCTGTGTAGATGTAACCTGGGTGTTTGAGAAGGCAGCTCTCTGTCCTTTATTTCTCTAACCAGCTTTACTTCAATCCAGTGTCTGTCATCTCCCACCTTATAGGTATATTTTCAATATATAGTCTATGTGAATATTAATGAGAGAAGCTAGCAGCAGTCTCAAACCAAAGTGTACTGGTATTCTAAAATTCTGCAGTGTTGTTACTATCTATTCAAGGTTGAGATAAGCAAAATGCCAGTTTTAGTTGTTACTGACTTTGTCTAGATGAAAAACATGGGTAAACATACTTGTCTAGCTGTGTGTTTTCTTGAGTTAATTTTTCATTTGAAAAAATTGAGTACTTTATCTTTTTTGCAAAAAGTAAAAACTGATCAATGCACGTTTTCACATTGATCTTTTCTAGCAACAAAAATAACTTTATTATTGCTAATAAATATAATCTTTAGCTATTTGTACAATCATGTTTCTTTGGTTACTAATTTTGATTAAATCCTTTATATTAATGTCCTTTTCAGCTGCTACCCCAACTCCAGCTATCATTTACGGTAAACTAATACAAAATCTGTCTGCATCATCTACCAAACATATTTCATACGTTTGCCTATCACAAATTGTGTCATCTTCGGGGGTTTTTTTGTATCATGCTTTCTTACCAACATTGCTTTTTCTAAAGCAGAAGAGAATCTGTGCAATCATACCATTTTCTTATTAGCTATTTGTTCAAACTGTTTCGTTACTATAGTATCAGCCTTTGGAATTTTATACCAAGACAATTTTAAATTATTTGGCAGTACACAATTTATAGAAAACAATTTTGTATACAATTTTTTAAATTTAAGTTGTTTGCAGTATTATTCAATATCTTCATACTAAATAGAGTAACACAAAATAGTCTCTGTAATACATGTAATACAGAGCAAATACTAGTAGATAATAAGTAAAATGCCTTTTTTTTCTTCTTGCTGAGCATCTTTCTTAAATTCATGCATGAAATATTTGTAGTAATTTTGAAACAGTTTCATGTCTATGCTTCTTTATTTTCTGCGACTTAAGATTTTATTTCAGATATAGCTACTCATATTCATAAAACAAACTGAACATGATGCTGGACATTGCATTTCATATTTTTTCGTTTTTCATTACAGTAGCATTTATACTGCAAAACAATCAGGCATAGAGTTTTCATCAGTAGTGTTAACTGCTTACAAATTTATCAGAAAAGTTCCCAGAAATATCATTTCTTCTACATTCCATTAAAGTTGCATGCAGAGGGAAGTAGATTCCTTTACTATTGTGTTTTTGGAAACGTTTTGGTTGAAATGTGACTGTTGTTGCCAGGAAGAATCTGTTTAATCTGTCATGTTTAGTTACTGTGTATTTATTTGGTTTACAGATCGTCCAAATCCACCCTTTGATTTAGAATTAACAGATCAGCTAGAAAGAAGTGTACAGCTGTCCTGGATACCAGGATATGACAATAACAGCCCTATTACAAGTATGTTTGGTTATCTCTACTGGAGCAAAAATACATATTCTTACTTTTTCAGATTTCAAAGAGTTTTAAAATATATCTTTATGTAGTAAGTTTGGCAATTACATTTTATTTATATATTTATTTATTGATTGATTTATTCATGTGTATTACAGTGGTGCCCAAAATATATGTTGCATGCTGTTCAAACATATAGAAGGACACTTTGCCTGCCCAAGAGAGTTTAGTGAAAAACTCATAATCCTGCAGTATCACACCCCTCATCAGCACTGGTGGGTCCTGTTGCTGGTTAGATCCTGTTCATAAGCTGCTGGCCCATCAGCATGAGTAGGGGGCATCCAGTAGCCAATGATGGGACTGGTGTGCAAGGCTGGTTGCTGGGCAAAGATGTAGGATCTGGGGCCGGCCACTCCCCCTACTCATCTGCCAGCATAGCCCCCACAGTGAGCCAACTTCTCAGCCAGTAGGGTTCTGCCCCTGTCCTATTTCTGGCCAACACTGGTTAAAAGCTGCTGTGGCTGGTAAAGATTAGTGCAGGCAGGTGCCAGATAGTAGCCGGTTAAGTATCGCCTCTGCAGCCCCACCCATTGGTCCTTTATGTGCTCCTCCTTTTGAAGTCATCTGCCTGCTTTGTCCCTTTGCCTCCCTAGTCTTGCTGCTCCTTCATATCCCGGTGACAGGGCAGACCGCGTACAGTGAACCAGCCCTTGGTCACAGTGCTCAGTTCACCAGAAAACTGGCCTGCAGGCTCCTTTCTCCCTCCACTGCCTCTGACTGGGCTGGGCTGGTGCTATGGGAAAAGCCCAAGATCATCTGGCCCAGGGCACTCAAGCCCTGCTTGTGCCGAAGCTTCACACATTGCTGGCATGGAGAAGCCTCTCCCCCCTCTTGGCTAAGTACTGGAGTGGTGGGAGGGAAGTGATTTCCAGCCTGTTCGTGTCCTGAACCTGCCTGTTCCACAGCAGCCTCTGGGGCAGGGGCTTAGCACTCTCTTTACATACACAACCCCACCCTGGGTCCTGCCCCCAAGAATTGCAGGACTGACAAACCCCCTGCAATGAGGTTCCTGGGCCCTGGTACACAATGCATCCTTAGTGTTTAACCGCTTCCTGCCTGCTCTGTAGCTGGAGTTGGCTGGGCTATGTCAGTGGCCAGCAGCAGCCAATTGGTAGAAAGGGGAAAGCTGCTTCTAGCCAGGGGGGTGGCAGTGGGGGAGAGAGAGGAAATATGAGTTCTGAAAAGACATGGGCCAAGTCATTGCCCCCACCCCCATCTACTACAATTGGAATTGGCCACTGTCCATTACTTTGCCCACAGTGCCCAAAGGCTGCTGCTGGCCACATTCTGGTGTGAACAATGGCAGAAATGTGTGAAGGGCATGTGGTCCTGCATGCTCCCTACCTATGTGTTGCCTCGGAAAGACACACCAAGTGTCTGTCATACAGTTGAATTTGAAAGCTCATCGGCAGCAACATCTTTACATGTTATTTATCTTTGTTGACAGAAAAAGCTTTAACTTCATAATGATAAACCAGATGTTTTTTCAGATCTTTTCAAGGCCAAATTTTTGACAGAAGCAAAACAGTCTTAAAACTGCAAACAGGAACTTAGTTCTTAAAAGCAATAACTTAGCCCTCCAGTCGGTAGTGTAGATTTGGACATGCCTGGGAATTTAGGAGCAATTTTTTTTAAAATGACTCTTTTCTCCAGATTGGACAGTAATCTTTCGCAATCAGAAGAAGAGAAAGGAAGCTACTCTGATGCAGTCTGTTCCCTTGTGTCACTGAGGCAAATAGCAGAAGGGATGGCAGAAGAGGACAGTATCAGCAGTGATATGAGAATAGTGAAATATTTTATTGTTGACCATGCGTGTGCTTACTAGTGGGGAAGCATGGGGTTTGTTTGGGTTTTTTGTAGCTTTATAGGTGTTCCTGGGTTATATGGCATTGAGTACCTTACAAATGCAGGTAGTCATAATAATCATTATAAAACATAAAACATAATACTATTTTTACTTCTCGTCCACTGGGCTACTGTGCAAGTGATCTGGTAGAATATTATACCCCTCTGTTGCCCACACTATTCACACAGGCCCTATGTGTGATTCCTGCAGGTCATTGTGCTTAACAGATGGCTTGTGTTCATTAAAGTAGAAAGGGAGAATTCTGGAGAGCTGAAGCAGATAGCTTATATTCCTATAACCAGAGCCATTGGATGGTTAGGTGCAAACCCTGTGCTTTGGGGGGCCCTGAGGGGCCTAAGGTGCCCTGAGGTATTGGGGGGAGGGTGGCAATGGTAGGAGCTGTGGGAAGTGGAGTGATCTAGCCCCAGTCTATTTGCTTCACTTCACCAGAGCAGTGGGTAGCAGAGAGATCCAGCCATAGTCTGCTATGCTATCCTGGGTGACCTGGTTATGAGTCAGACTCAGGGGAGTGAAGTGCACTGGGGCTGGGTGCTCTGCTTCCCACTGTCATGGTGAATGTGTTGTGTGGGGGGAGGTCCAACTCTTGCTGCTGGCACCAGGCTGCCTGGTAATCCTCTGAGTCATGTTGCTTGGGGGAAGGGGTTAGGAGGAAAGGGTGCAATGGGGGTGGAAGGGATGAGAAAAAATGGGGGATGGTACAGAGGGGGTTGGCTTGGGTTCTGCACCTTCATAAGGCCCTGCCTAGGACTGTGCTAGAGACAAGAGTTTTCTCCTCTAGCATAGCCCAAGGAAAATCTAGACCAGAAAAACTACACTGAGCTACGGGCAGTGAAATTCGCCCAGAAAACACACAATAAAGTGTTCCATGCAGTGAGGAATAGCCAGTTTGTGTCACAGAGTAAATCAGCAATGTTTATAACTGAGGAATTACGACCAGCCACCTCAAATTACTGTTGTCACCTCAGGAATATTGCCAGATCTGTAGGGAGATGTTTCAAAGGTTAGTCCTCCTTTCAAGAGTTCTCACATGTCACCATAGCTTTTCAATATGCAGTGAATTTACCAGGTGAGACCATGTTTTGGGCTGTATTGTCATCAGTAGGCAGATGGCATACAGCTGCACAAGCACACAGTCTCATTCATCTATTCATGTCTAACCAATGTGAAATGACCCAGATAGAACCAAAATTAAGCTTGTTGGCATAGGTCCCATAAGACCTGGGCTCATTGGGTCTTTCTTTATCCACAGTTAGTGAGACATGCAGATCTCATAACTATACATCAATCAAACTGTGATTCCCTTCCACAAGCTCCAGTGTAGAACAAAAACTGCTTGCTTCACGAGTGAGAATATAACAACTGTGTTCACTTCTTTAAGCTAGCTTCCTCTTCACTTCTAAGAACAATTCAAGTGTTTGGTCATCATTTGTAAAGTTCTAGATAACCTAAAAAGAAAGCATGATTTGAGAGCTCACATCTTACACTTTCAGCTTGTGCTGCCAGTTAAGATCAGCACAGAGGCTCTTGTTGATAGTTCTGTCAGATGAGCAGGCAGCAGATCACTCTCAATGCTGGCTTTGAAATTCCCTTTCCTTGGCCAACATCCATACCACAAGTCAGGACATGATGTGAGTTGCTCTGATTTACTTTAGCTTTTTTATCTTCCTGGCTTTTTGTTGCTGTTGGATGTTTGATTGGGGTTTTTTTCCTGGCAAAATAACACAGGCACCAGTATCTCTGGAGGTGGCACCCAGTGGTCCTTTGTAGCTACCTATTGTGTGCAGATTCATGTAATTTATTAACCCAGTACGTTAGCATTTAACAACTGTTTTAATTGGCATCCAAAACAGTGTACTAAATACTTCTGGAATAAACAGTCAGTCTGTTTATAATAAACAGCATTATTTAGTGTCGCTCCCCCTAGTAAGTTACAGGAATGAGCTAATATTTCATAATAGACAAAATTGCTTCATTTTAGTCACTCAGATCACATGCTCTCTAGAGCTTGGATATCATATACATAACTGCTACCTTGGATTTGTAAAGTGACCTGTAGTTTGTCAGGTTGCATTCCTTTTAATTGTGTTACGCTTTGTTGGGTAGTGCTCTGAGTGCCTCATAGAGACAGATACTCTTTATAAATAACTGTAGCTCTCCATGTGTACTGTGTAAACATCAAGATAATTCAGCTTGCATGCTGGGTCTTAGTGGGTCAATGAAATAACTGTTAAATTGAAATTTCATATATATTATTCCACCAAAGTTACAGGCAGCCTGTCAGTCACTAGGGACACACTGGTGCCAACTTTGGGAAATCTTGCCGCTTTTCAACAGGGAACATTCACACTTTTTCAGTAAGGGGGCTCATTTAAGAACACCTCAGACCCTAGGAAACTCATTTCCATGCAGCCAGCATCAGCTATAACAAAGGGCAGAGAGAGTAAGTTAAGACCTTCAGCTCTGATCTACCACCTGGATCAAGAGGAAACCCTGAGACACCAAATGCAGAAATCTCCCCATCTTTCTTCTTTAAAGGGAACAGCAGCAGCATGGAGACACTTTTAGGGGATAGAGTTTGAAAATCCTCTGACTCTCAGCTTCTTCACAGCAGCTAGCCAATGGTGATAGATAAATCAGAATACTTTGGACCCACAGCCCCTATGCCTGACCTAGAAAGACACAGGGTTAGGCTCAGGGGCTTCCCCTTTTAACTTCCTCAAGAGGAACAACAGCAGTCTCCAGTGGGAGGAGCCTTAGCAGCTTCATGGCAATCAGCATACACTGAATTATGAAACATGGTCTCTGGTTATATATTTTTCTATATGTGCTCTACTGTTGTAGATTGCTGCCCATGGCCTCCCATTGCAATCCCTTCAGCAGCCTAATGTCACTGTTCCTGCCCATTGAGCTTTTTCCATCCTCTTCTTTCCACCTTGTCTTCTCCTCATCTGTGGATCTGTTAGTAAAGGCACATTGACAATATAAATAAACTTGGACAGATGAACCTTCTACTCCTTTCTATTTATCCATTTTCCTTCTTGGGTATCTTGTCTTAATAACCCTTGGATCCAACTGAACTCAAAGGCAGCAGACCAAGGTATCTGTATATCAACTTTCAGTTCTACTGACATCCTCCTTCCTTCCCCCCTACCCCAAGCTTCTGGAAGCTACAATGGTTCCTATCAAAATGAAAATGTCCTGAGGATTTCTCTTATTTTTTCTGATGTAACAACCCCCAAGGGGCCATTATGCTAACCGTGGATTGCTAAAGTGCAGTAGCTCTCTGGCCATGTTTTCTTCCTTCTGTGTCCATGGTCCACCAGGTGGCACAGAGAATGTTTGGACAATTTTCAAACTATTAGGGCAGTTATAGAGCCCGTTTGTACTGCTCCAGTAGTTGAAAGAGGCCAGAATTTAGCCCCTTATCTATACGTCTAGAGCTGTTTAAAATTAGGGATTTCTAGTTTGCAGGGAACTAAATATTTCAAAGTTTGATTTTGTTGCAAATGTTTTGAAATTTCCTGTAAATCATAAATCTAAAAAAAAAATTAGAAACATTAATGCATCCTGCTTCTGAAATAAAATGTGAGCCCAAAGATCCTGGCAGCTGCTGACTAAAATAAAAATTCCTGTCAGTTTCACTGTTCTATTGAGATAGCAGTAGGGAAATAACAAAAATTTCAGTTTTGGTCAGCAGGTGCCAGGCCTCTGCATCTTCAGGGAAGACTAGCCAGAGCCCCCACTTTCAGATTCTTTCTCAGAAGTCGGAACGCTGCCTATGATTTTTTTTAAATGCTGAATCCAAAATGTTTTTGTAAGACATTTCAGGTTTGACAAATTAGCATTTCTAAGCAGATGTACATACATATAACTAGAATTAATTGTACCAAACTTTTCTTACACAACACAGCCATTTGAAACTTCATTTATTTCAGGTTCATATATCAAAACTAAAGACAAGTTTCATGCAAAATATTTTCAGAAACTTCATCCATTTGCTGAATTTATATCTTCAATACCAAGGTCAGATGCTTCAGAAAGAGATGTCTCCATGTATATGAAATGAAAAGATCCGCAGGGCTGCAAATTTTTTCTTTCACACTTCAGCTTTCATCATCATAGAAAACAAACATGATTTCCTTTCCATAAATCTAGTTCTGGAGTTCTATAAATCTAATTGTGCTTAAATCATGTTCTGTGCAATTGTGAAGCACTCGGCTCAAACAGTATAAAATCCACATGAAAAACTCTCATGTAAACTATCTACAATTCTTAGGTATCCTGATTCATCATTTGCAGGTGCTGAAAACTGCATCTGCTTAGGATCAGATTTTGCCCCCATGTTATACCAAGAATTGTCTGTTGATTTTAGGCTTTATTAATAAATCTCACTTGTGAACAAACCTCGTGATGAAGAATAAGACATCCAGTAGATTTTAAGATTGTTTAAATACTTCACTGCCAGCCTGATAGAGGTAATATAATTAAATTATTGGGGCTGGTCTGTGCTGGACTGTACTAAGTTACTAGCAGCATACCAGTATACCGTGACTTTGAGGCTTTTCCGCAGCTAGGCATTATAAGCACTAGCCTTGTGACTCAGACACAAAGCTAAGGGAAAGGGTATTTTACCAGAGTTAGATTGCAAATTCCTCAGATACAGAGTCTTGAGCAGTTCAGTGTCAGCCATAGTAGTTCTTATTTTGGGCCCTGGAAGCAGTTTATTCAAGAGTCAGGGCTCTTCAGGCCTAATCCTTAGGGTGTCCTCTGCAGTCCAATCTCTATGACAGCAAATAGGAGCTTGCAGGATTCCTGTCCAAGCCCTATTAATGCATCTCCTTGGTGCCCTATACACTGGCTCCCCCCCATAGCCGCTGCTATTGACGCCCCATAAGTCCCACATAGATTGCACTCAGCTGTAACATTCAGCAGCCACAGCTGCTCACATGGAGTTGTGTTCAGCTCCTACAGATTCCTCTTAGCATCCAACTTCCCAGCAGCCCCTTCTCAAGTGAGTTCAGGACCCTTTCCCTTCCCTGGCCAGGAGGAAAGGGGATCCTCAGTGACAGGGGGTGACAGGAGTTGTAGCTTCCATCACACTACGTATACAATTTTAAATGTTTTTCTCTCAGTGTTAAATGCTTATTTCTGTGCTGAAACTTCATCTTTTATGTTTTCCTCTCGGTAGGGTCTTTCTAAGGCTCCTGGGATGTCAGTATCCAAGCACCTAAGACAGTTCAATAGAATTATAGTTACTTACAGGTAGAATGCCAAAGAATAATGTTTCCTTCACATTTTCTTGCTAAGAACTACTTGTTCAGTTGTGTTTGCAAACTTATTTTCATTTCAAGATTATTTAACAAATTATAGTAGAGTGGATTGCTGTCTTCTGATTATTTTATTCATAAATGATCCTGTTTGTTTGTGCCTAGGAATCTTATAGTTCTGACATCTAAACTAAACTCAAATTCTGTTGATAGATTTTGTTGTTGAATATGAAGATGGAATGCATGAACCAGGGATATGGCATTACCAGACAGAAGTCCGTGGAACTCAGACAACTGTTCAGTTAAAGCTGTCTCCATATGTTAACTATTCATTCCGTGTAATAGCTGTCAATGAGATTGGTAGAAGTCAGCCAAGTGAAGCATCTGAACAATACCTGACAAAAGCTGCAAGTAAATAAACACTACCAGTAATCAATTTATTCTTTAGATGCCATTGAATTATTTAGTGCTTAAAGAACAATTGGACCTTACTCAATTATACATATTTAACTTTTAGAGCCAGATGAAAATCCTTCCGGTGTTCAAGGGATAGGATCAGAACCTGATAATTTGGTGATTACATGGGAGGTAAGTTTTTAGCCTTATAGTTAGCATCTTTTAGAAAATAAAAATATCAGCTTTGAACAATTTAATAGATGTTATTGTTTGAGACAAAACAAAAATCCACTAACTTGACTGAAAGTTTCCCCTTTATTGAAAGGGAGAAAAATGTAAAGGAACATTCACAGTGAGAAGCATACATTCAAAGAACGGTTTTTTTCCTTGGTTAATTAGTGGTTTCTCCATCTTCCTGACAAGCTCATTAATTTAAGATAACTTGAGGTGTTTTCATGCATTAAGATTAAAATATATACATATTAATATAAATTAGTTAGCCTCATAAGTTTAGAAAGTATTCAGATTTAAATCCTAGCTCTTCACTAAGCTTTACTCTATATTATATCATCATTCTTCAAGGTGTTTGTGGATGCATTGGACTGATACTTACAAGACAAAAATTCTGATTCTGTTTCTAAACACAGATTCACAATTACTCAGCAAAGTCAGCTTCCCATTACAGTTTTGAAAAGGTTCTATTTCTTCGGGAAATATGATTTATAATAACCTTTTAGGCTCTTTCATAGTAGCTTTCTTCCATGGCTAAAGAAAACTGACAATAATATATTATAACAGATTGCATGACTAAAAAGCTTGGTGATTAGGTTCTTTGCTCCTCGATACAGTCAGGATGATTTATGAATGTACAATTTCAGTTTAATGCCAGTGTAACTGAAATTAAACGAGCATAAAAATAAAATTGCATAATACAGTAGTTTCATTAGGGTTACACAGATCTAAAACCAAGGGAACAACATGGTGAATCAGGCTTATTTTTGCACCTTGGTTCTTCATTAGAAACCTATGGCATTGTTGTTATCCTGGATTTCTCTTGTTCACAAATGTTATAATACAATTTTAACAAATTATCTTCTTTATTTTTCATTTTAGCCTTTGAAAGGCTTTCAGTCCAATGGACCAGGTCTTCAATACAAAGTCAGTTGGCGTCAAAAAGATGTTGGTGATGAGTGGACTTCTGTTATAGTTGCAAATGTTTCCAAATATATTGTATCTGGTACACCAACCTTTGTTCCATATGAGATAAAAGTACAGTCTTTAAATGACCTAGGATATGCACCAGAACCTGCAGAGGTGATTGGACATTCTGGGGAAGACTGTAAGTTTCTCAGACTTACTGATTTGTACTAATTAACAATATCCAAATACAAAGTCACAGAGGGATTTAAAAAAACTATTGAAAATTGGTGGGAGGGAATTTTGCTCATAGAATAAATGAAAATTGTACACTTCAAATCTTTGGAAGCATAGCCGAAGGCTCCATAAACCTCAGCGGCATGGCTATTTAGACTCAATTCAGTTGTTAAATGAGACATCAGTATTTCTTTGAGTGAATTATCTCTTCATATAGTCACTGAGTATAATCTGGGTTTTGTTGCATCTCTCTCCTACGCAGTACCAATGGTTGCTCCAGGCAATGTGCAGGTGCACATTGTTAACAGCACATTAGCAAAGGTGCACTGGGACCCAGTTCCACTAAAAACTGTCAGAGGACACCTTCAAGGATACAGGGTAAGTAACTAAAGAAGCTTTTATATTCTCATCTCTCAAAATAAAATACTCTTAATGTAGATATGTGTTTGAGAGGGAGGCAACTGACATTAACAATGAGTATTTTAGGTTTTCTATTGTATCATAATTTTGATTGATAATTTGTTGGCATCATATACTTAAGATTATGTGAGGCAATTAAGAACATAAGAACAGCCGTACTGGGTCAGACCAAAGGTCCATCTAGCCCAGTAGCCTGTCTGCCGACAGTGGCCAGCACCAGGTGCCCCAGAGAGGGTGGACCGAAGACAGTGATCAAGCGATTTGTCTCCTGCCATTCCTCTCCAGCCTCTGACAAACAGAGGCCAGGGACACCAATTCAATCCCCTGGCTAATAGCCTTTTATGGACCTAACCTCTTGCATGCCATTCTTGTTTAAAAATGCTTATTCTTGCACGCCATTCTTGTTAAAAAAATTATCACTGTAATAAATCAGTATAGTCCATACTACAAGAATTAAAATCTGATTATTTAAGAGATCACAAAAGTATTATAGATTGGTAATTTTTATCCAGTAGGCTTTATCAGTGATCAGTCACAGAGAGACTGGCCCATTAAGGAGGAGATGGAGCCAGTCCCACTTATAACTGATTAGCTGCCTCTCGGCTGCGGGACCGAATGAGGAGCACTGAGCCTTTTATGGAGGCCAATAAAGGCCTAGTTTAAAAGAGGGGAGGGGCTTCTGTTGTAATAGGCCTTGGAGCAGGGTGATGGTTTGGAGAAAACTGAAGATATATGAGGAGCAAGAGAACTCAAGGAAGGGAGACATCA